CAAAAAAGATTTTTGTGATTGCCCCTCATCTCTCTCCCTCTCCTTATTTATTTTCTTTTACTATAGTTAAAAAATAATTCAATTTTTATTTTTTATCTTAAAACAATATTTTCATTAAATTATTTGGTTTTACAATATAATAATATGAAAAAATAAATAAACCAAATAACTTGATTTTAAATTATCTGATGATGCTAATGTTAGTATAATTTTCTTATTGCAATATTTAATTTGATTTAATTTTAAATATGCTATATTTTGATAAAGATATTTTAGTCATTTGGATATTTGTTCATTTTCTTTCCTTCCTATTTTCTCTCACCTATCTAAGCAAGAGGAATGACAACACTTATCTCTATTTTCTCCCATCCTTTTTTTTTCCTACTAACTTTCTTCCCATCCAAGTAGAGTATAAGGATAGTATCAACACTGTTAATTTATTCCAAAACAGAAAATTCACTTGCACTAGTTTAATTAAAAAAGATTAGAATATACTATTAGTTCTTTAATATTATACAAGCTTTGACTTTGGCCTTTTAACTTTAAAAAATATATTTTAAGTCTTTTTAACCCTAAAATCATTAATCTTAAATGATATTTTTTATAACAATTGCAGTTATTTTGAAAATTAAACTTGATATATTAACATTTAATTTGATATCTCAATATCATTATTTTTTGTTAATAGTTTTAGTGTTAAAGGAGAAAAATATACTTTTTATAATTAAAGAACTAAAATAAAATATTGTATAAATTAAAGGAATAAACGCATATTTTAACCATTAAAAAAATACATGAAGTATATAAGGTTAAGTATCTAACTTATTTAGGTAAAACTATGGAGATAAATTGACCTTTCATAACAGTATATCCTTATTGAAGTAAAAAAGCATGAAAACAAAAACTAATAAAATAAATCTAACAAAGAATTTGTACGATTTAATAATTAAATCTCAAGTAGTCATTCTATTCATTATAAATTATTAATTAATTAATTACTATAGGTTTGCATAGCAGCAAGTGGTGATTCTACTATTGGTCTAACAAAATCGTACAACCTATATTCCATTGATACGATGAATACTAATATCCATGCTTTGACCTTAATTAACTTCTCCGATGAAGACCAGATCTGCCAGCATCTTTCCTTTCTTTCATTCCTTTATTATACTTGTTCCATTGATTCTACCTATTAAACAACCTATAATTCTTATATCCACAAATCTATTCCTTCTCATTATACACTGCTACCAAAAAAAAACATTTAACGGCAGTTAAAATGAGCTTTTTACGACGGTTTTGAGAGCGACGTCTATGCCATCGACATAAAATGTAGAGGATTTCACGGCGGTTTAAGAACCGCTGTAGTAAATGACTTTTCACGGCAGTTATATAAATAACTACCATGAAAAATGTTTTTTTTTTCCTTTCAAGTCTACGTTTCACCTTGTTGATTAGGGAACGGGAAAACAAAGCCTCAAAGGAAAGGATCTGAAAATCAATTAACCAATAATCTCTTACCAGTTAAAAGCATTTTGATGGAACAAACGTAGATTCTTTCTTGCCGTAATAACACCATTTAGCTTCACCTTCAGCTACCAGATCAAAGCCACTAAGATTTAATAAAGATAAAATCAAATACTCAAGTCTAATAAAATCAAATACTGAGATCTGATTAAAAATCAGATCTCTTCAAACCCAGATTAAACATCATATTTTTAACCAAAGAAAATAATCATATTAAACTACAAAAACTATGAAATTCACAGAAAGAATGGAGGTGAAAAACTCACAAATAAGAATGAAGAGGATGAGGCGATGGCGATGGCGATGGCAACAGCGACAGTGACAACGACGGTGATGGAAGAACGTGGTGGAGGTGATAGAAGCAAAGGATAAACGCCGACAAAGGTAGGAGGAGGGAGAAAATCGTGTGAAGACGGTAATAGGGGACTATGAGCTCTAACTCTGAAAAGTAAAAACTATCACGCAATGGATTTTAAAATTATGATAGACTTTAATTTTTATGGTGGTTATTTAAAAACTGATGTTAAAAGTATTTTTTACGGCGGTGTATTTTTTATGGCGGTAAAACCGCTGTAAAAAAATACTTTTAACGGGGTTTTTTAAATAACTGTCTTTAAAAGTATACTTATAATTACAGAAATGCCACCGTCATAATTTTTTATAATTTTTTTTCTAATAACCTCCGTAAATTGGCGTCATAAAAACTCTTTTTTATAGTAGTGATAGCCTCTTTTTTGTGATCTTCTTTGTTTTTTTTTAAATAATTTTTTAAAGGATACATTCTCATAAAATTAATCAACTTTTTCTTCATATTCCATTCTTCTTCTCATTTTATTTTATTTTATTTTGCAACTATATATACCAAATGAGCTAATAGTAGTGTATCTTCGTGGAATTTGAAATCCAAGTTTTTATACTGTACAGGTTTGAAAATTGACGACCAAGCCGCGTAATGGACGTGGAAAGTCCAAGGTCACAAGAACATTTAAAGATTTATTTACACTGTTGGAATGATTTGATACGAATATATATATTTGTTGGCATTACAACTCATCATACATAGAATCACAAGTCATTGATCTATGACCAATTTATGTTAAAAATGGATCTCGTTATTGCTTTAAGAAATCCAATCGGAAGATAATTGAATTGATAATACCAATTGGTTTTCAAAAGTTAATATTATTGAGCCAGATTTACTCAGATCCAGTCAAGTTCAACCACATGAATGTAAGATACTGCTAGTGGCATTTTTTTCCATGCACAAGACTCGAACTTAGAACTTCTTTTGTAAACCTTATATGTTTGGATAGAGAGAAAAATAAGAAGGGAAAAGAAACTATAAGAGAAAATAGGAGGGGTAAAAACGATAATACCCTATTTGGATAGCAAGAAAAAATAACAAGGGGAGAATAAAGGAAAATATATATAAGGGCCACATTACATATTTTTCAGAGATTTCAAAGGAAAAAACTTGCTTTTCAGTCAATGAAAATTGGTTTAGTTCACAAGGATGCAACTTAAATGACCTATATCTCAAGGAGACATAAGTATAAATGTTACTGTCGATGGAGAATCTTATTAGTGGTCAAATTATAAGTATTTCTATTAATACTATTTGTGTTTTAAGGTATGTTCTAGTTCTAGTGAGTCGTTGAACTCAACTTACCCCGCCAAACTGTTAAATTTGTAATTAAGGAAAAACTTCCTTTCCAATAAAATCATTCCAAATAACAGAGGAAAGAAGCGTGGGTTCATATTTTATTCATATAAGTATTATTGTCATTATGAAATTAATCACTTTTTTCAGTATATTTTTCATGTTTATCCAAAAAAAGAAGAGAAAACATCTTCTCCTTACTTTTTTCCTCATGTATGTCTTCTTCCTCTCTCATTTTCTTTTTTTTGTTTTTTTGGCTTTTATCCTTATCCAAACAAACTATAACTGGGGGCAAAAATGTATCAGGTCACTTGAACCAACCACTCAGTGGTATGGCAAATGATGATTTCAACATTAGATTAATTAAAGTTGGGCATTTTTTTAAACTAGAATTATTGAGATGAGGCACTTACAATAATGACACCAAAAATTATGATTATTTTACGAAAGACGTTGATCATATATTCATACACGTAGTGTTCTCTGGTTTGCCAAGTAATTTCTTTTTTCCCTCTCTCACCGTATCGTTTGGAAAATTATATAAAATTAGTTAGGAGGTAACATGATTGATTGTATTTTATTTTTCTGAATTGGATGTCACGGTTCACACATGGAGACTTGGAGATCGAGTAAATGCGATCAAGATTTAGTAATCAACAAATTAATATATCAAATGACATATATAACAAATCCTATTATTTATAGTATGAACAATATGTCTAACAAAAGTATGAAATTAACATCTATTTTCTTGCAAAAGCTTTTGTCCCTTGACGGACCCAATAATTTCTCTTAGGTATGTAGAACTATGGATTGATTACACACATATATGTATATATATCTCATGTTAGTAGAGTTTCTTTGAATCCATGAGTAGTTAAATCTATTTGGGTAGTACCCTCTTCGGGTTGTACTCTCTTGATCATATATGTAAGAGTTAGATTATGGGGATATGTTTTTTTCAGTTTTAAATTGAAGATTTCGATACATTGTCTCCGAAATTTTTTTTTTTTTTACAAACTAATCACGTATTAAAGAAAAGTTTTATATGAGATAAATTTCATTGCAAATTATTAAGCTCTATTTCCTAGTTATCTATCTCCTATAGTTAGTACTAGAGGAAGTATTAAATACTATCTCAGATCCTTAATATAATAATTAAATAATTCATTTTAAAATATTTTAAAAAATTAGTTAAGTTAGCTTTTATAAATATATATTGATTTTCTTAAAATACGCTTTTTAATAATGCGTATTGAAACTACTTTTAATAAGAATTTCCTTTAATATGTGAAATAGGATGCTTTGTAAAACGACTATAAATTTGAAAAAAAAAAATGAATTGAGAACATAGTCTAACTCCTATATTATATTTTAGACCCGAGGGAAGAGAAAGTAACGTATGAATGAAGGACCGTAGTGAAAATGAGAAATTAGGCAAATAATATAGCCTTTAGCACGTAGATCAGAGGTGGTGGAGGGAGAGGAACCATAAATCTAAAGAATGAGTCTTTTCATTAGCAAAAAACAATCATTAATTTTCTTTAAAAAAAAAAGAAAAATTGAATGACTGGTTGGTGAAGAACTCCACAAAGTCCTCAAAACGACAAAAGGTGGGGTATTAGAAATTTGTCATCTCAAAAGCGACCCTCAATCATATATACGAAATCGCTATACATCTCTAGTGAATCGCTTTCAAAATACATATCTTGGTAGGCATCTTTGCTTCCCTAAGCCCTTTCACATCACCCCCCACATAATTCTCACTGTTCAAAGTTGGAATTCAATTCAGGTATATGACATATAAGAAGGTCTCAGACCAAAACGAGAGGTTGAATTAAGCATCTGCACAGCGCAGCTTCTGAGAGGACGTACGTCGGACAGCTTCGATTTCGTTTAACGAGTAAGCCAATTATCTTCTGTACCTCTCGCAGCATACTTCTAATATCTGGGAATGGTTGAATGTGCATGTGGGTGCTTTTAGTCTTCCACGGGCTTGTGTTTATGTTTGTTTGAAAGGTATATTTTGAGAACCACAGAACGAGCTGATGGCCTGTGTTCTGTTGATTCTTGACTTCTTTCTGCAGGAAATTATTCTCTTTTAATTGCATAAAGGAGTTCGAAGATGGAGATTTCACCCATTAGAGGGTTACCTGATCAAATGGTAAGATTTTTAGCTTCTCTACTTATAATGGATGGTTTGAAACTTGGTGTTTAGTTGGAAAACAAGGCAAAAACTCCAAGAGATAAACTATTGGACGATCCTATATATGTTGCTCACAAATAAATACAAGTAACCGATCAACTCAAATATCTGTTGACAGGACTTTTTCAAGTTTCTAACAAAGAAGAAGTTTCAATTACAAAAGAATTAACAGAGATATGTTATTTTGGTGAAACCATCAATATCGATATAAAATGTGAAAAAGTCTATAAAGTTTTACTATTCATAACACAACAGTTTTTCCTTTTCCTAATGCACAGATCCCCATATCTACTTTTCATGTATTTCGAAGCCGCAGAAGTTCTGGCTCCAGTTTAGACGACTCCGTACAATTAATTAATGTGATTTCTTTTTCCTGTTTGCAGGGAATAACAATGGAGGATCCTAGTTATCTTCATGAATGGCACTTGAACGCTTATGAGGATCCAACCTTACTACCCATAACCACTTCTGCTTTTGGAGAGACCTTATTACAGCAACATTCTTACTGTAATAATATGAACTCAGACCTTAATCCCAAAATCAGTTGCATGCAAAATTCTTCCTTTAATGAAAGACCCACAAAGCAGATCAAAACCAGCAACACTTCATCATGTTGGAGTCCCAATACTCATGAGAGTCCAGATCATCAGACATCATCAGACCAGCTGCAATTTGCTTCTTCGTGTCCAAACCATCTTTCCTTTGTGAACCAGGACTACATAAATCACATGGGATTCATGGGGAAGACCGATAACAATAAGGATGAGACAATATTATTGTCTCCAGAAGTCAATGGCGCCAATAATGTTGCTGATCATGTTTTGATGTCTCAACAATCCTTGGGGAATCCGAACTATGGGTTCAAGACGACAAGCCAATTAGATCAGGCCAGGAAGATTGGGGCCATGATTCCTAATAATAGTAGAGTTTCTCAACCAGTGCAGGACCACATCATTGCTGAGAGGAAACGAAGAGAGAAGCTTAGCCAGAGGTTCATTGCTTTGTCTGCCCTTGTTCCTGGTCTTAAGAAGGTAAAAACATCCCTAATCTGATGATTTTTGAATTTTTTATAACCTGATATATGTTCTGCACCAAAAACTTTCAACAGATCTGCAAAACAAATGAATAAATCAAAGAGATATACTCCTCCAGTTCTTAATTTATGAAATAATTGTGGAGTAACTCTTAGTCCTAAATATAAAACCTATTTTCTTCAAATTACGCTATTGATACTCCCTCAAGTAGAAGAAGGAGGGAGGGAGGATATTAAGAAAGATGATTATGGTGTTTAAGACAAACATTCTATTTTTATTATTATTAACTAATTTAGTTAACTATCTTAATCTAATCAGACTAATTAAATGGGTCTTATATTAAGAATTAAATGAATATGTTATGGATTTTATACAGTGAGCTTTTAGTTTTATTCTATCTAAAATTGCAGTTTTTCATTTGAGTGAGACAATACTTAAATGCAATGAATGGTTGATATATTGAAACATGACAATATTGAAACCTCTCTTAAAAGTTATGGAATCTAAACCGAAGGGATTATTTGTTTTACTTGTTTACTGATAATTAATTTGTATTGTTAAGTTCTGAATTTGTTTAGGTAGGCTACTGTACGCCTACCAATTCAGATTATGGATCCCACCACATGGAAAACTACTAAATTGCTTTGATATGTAACAAAATTGCTTTGAATCTTATATGGCCAACTCTCTTGTGTAAGTGGGTGGTTTATATGCATCTATACAAATAAAATAGAAGGCACCGGCTACCTCGAAATCCAGATCTACTTTTTCGTAAACTAGATTATTTTAAATTTTTTTCTGATTAATCTTTGTTTGACAACTCCAATAAAATGAAGTAAAACTTATATTTGTTTGCAATAAGATGATTCTTTTTATTTATAATTGTTTTTCATTTTTATATCGAATAAGGCCTTAAATTTAAATCTGAACCTTCTCAGTATGATTTGAAGAATAAAGATAATAATACTAATAATAATTATGAAAGGACTAAAATAAAATGCAGACACAAAGACCTCTTCTCAATAACTTTTCAAATGAAATGATCCGTTCCTTGCTGTTTCACGTCAAAACACCTTCCCTCTCAGCCCTATCAGAAACCCTAATAAAAAGGCTGCTTTGTATTAATTCAAAATTTTTCCTTCTTATTTACTGTCAAACAAGCTGGTTATTGAATTTGAATTTATCAAAACAGATGGACAAAGCTTCTGTGCTTGGAGATGCTATAAAGTACATGAAGCAACTGCAAGAGAAAGTGAGGATTCTTGAGGAAGAACAAACAAAGGCAAAAACAGTGGAATCTGTGGTGATTGTGAGGAAATCTCATTTTCTTCCTTCTGAAGCAGCAGAAAATTCTGACTCTTCTTCAGATTCTGGTGGAGCAGGATCGTCTTCCTTCGACGAGACAGTGCTCCCAGAAATCGAAGCAAGGCTCTGTGAAAGAAGCGTTCTCATAAGAATTCACTGTGAGAAAATCAAAGGAGTTCTGGAGAAAGCAATAGGTGTGATAGAAGATCTTCATTTAACAGTCACCAATAGTAGTGCCATGACTTTTGGGAGTTCTGCTCTTGATATCACAATTATTGCTCAGGTAATTGTACATATTTCTTCACCTTTATTAATTAATTAATAGGTGAAAATAATAAAGGAGTCACACAATAAAACGACTATTTGATTTAATTAGACATATTTCCATGTACATTAATTTCAGTTTGCTGTAGATTTTGAAAGTTCATATTTTCTGAATATACCAAATAATGGTTAAAATAGGTGTTTTGTGACTGCTTGGAAAAAAAAGAAAAAGAAAACTTGCCGGCGTTAAACATTACATATAGGTTAAGTCCCCGTGCACTGCAACTGGCTTTTATTTTATATTTACCTAATGAATATGAGACAAGATCCAACTCATTCTCGTATAGTTTGCCTAACTCACATTCTCTAGCAACTTTATGGTTCAAAACTTTTTATTCCCGTCCGTGAGCTTTACTATACCTTCATTATGAAGCTTCATAATATTAACGTCCTCCTCAAGAATATTATATATATATATATATGCATATATATAATGCTCATATGGACAAAATTTACTACCTTCATTGAGATTCGAGCAACGAGGGGGCTGAGAGAGTTAGCTACAAGTAGTAATTATATATCTTGCAATATTACTGTATTCTCTCTATAGTTATTAAAGAGCGAGATTTTTTGTTATACTGTACAGATGGATTCAGAATTTTGCATGACTCTGGAGGATCTTGTGGGAAACCTACGCTCAGCCTTTAAATCTTTCATGTGAAGAAATAACAAGTTCCAAAATAATCAAGCAGCCGAAGGCTTCAGAACTTGAAAAGAAATATACTTCACAGTAAAATGTTTATATATATATATATATATGTATGCTCACACACACGCACAGCAGCTCAAGTTGTCAAGTGTATGTTGCTATATAAGTGTCCTGTTCTGTGTTTATACAACGTACGTAACGCCTGTGATGTCGACCATCTTCTTAGACCATCCACACCAAACGATGTTTATATATGGATCAAGTTTGTTTGTATTAGGGTTTTTTTTCCCAGCAAAAGACTGTGTGTACTGTTTATAACATGGTCACTCGCAAAAGCTGGATTTTTTTTTTAAGGATCTGTTTGGCAGATTTGTGGTTGAGAAGTTGAAACCACCTGCTTTCTGTCCCCTTTTCTGAATAGCTTGATCTGTAGAAAATAAATGAGGTTTTTAGGGTGTCCTGACAAACAGTGCCTTCATCATTTGGTAGCTTTTTCACTTTCAAAGAGCTAAATATGATAATGTAAAAGTTTGTTTCACAGTGTCGGTGATGGATAATGATAAATAATGTTATTTTTTCCCCTTTTCTCTTGCTCTTTCTCTCTCTCTCTCTCTCTTTTTTTTTTTAAATATTAAGGTGCAAATTTGTCTCAGGCACTCAGATGTTTTTTTTAGTATAAATTTACCATAAAAATTTAAAATCGCGACAATTTTTAAAGTGCAAATTTGTCCCGGAAAGTTTTTTTTTTTAATAGAAATTTGCTCCGGAAGTATAAAGGTTGTTCCATTAATACATGTAGGTACAAGAGTTTCATTTAACCTGTCAAAACTTGAAATTGAAACATAAACATTTTGGAACTGATGTTTCAAAGTGCTATCCTCATGACACCCAAAAAAAGAGTCGGTACTGAATAGAGAGAATGAAATAAAATTTGTCTTTATTAATAAATAATCATTAAAAATAATTAATATTTTTTAATATTAGCATAATAGATAATCATACAAAAGTAATATAATAAATATTATACAATGTTTTCTTCTTCTTTTTTTCCTTTTTTCCCCAACAAGACTGAATTTGGTGTTTCCACGGCAAGCTGGTTTCCACTTTCCAACTGATGGCTCGTTTAAGAAAAATAATAAATTATAAATGTCAGGAGGTGAGTTAATTTTCAAATTTTAATTAATGATAAAGAAAATGTCTAGAGTGAAACGTGTGGTTTGAAATAGATAATTTTCATTGATGCAAACGTAAGTCTATTTAATTAGATATATATCATATTAAAAAGAATAACAATCACACGTCTTTGGCCTTTGGGCATCATTTTCACCTTCTATAGATACATGTTATTTGATTTGCATTAGCCAACTCTGGTATTCCAGATTTGCTGGAAAGCAATATAATTAAGAATGTTAATATATAGTCCTCTTGCTTTGATAAAAAGTCGGTTCATAACTCATAAAGTCATGAGCTTGAATCCTACTGCTAATATGAGACCTTATTGGTGGACAATCTATATGCACTTTTGTAAGCACTTTCTGAGCCTAGAAGCATAGCTTGGCCTTTGTGAACCTTTAAGTCCCAACTTACCAAAACTTTCTTTGATAAATATATATACACACATATATATAGTCCTCTTAATTCGTCAAAAGCTAGTTCTAAGCTATATATCTATCTATCTGTATAGATATAGCGCCTTCTTCATTTTTTTTTTAAAGATATGAGGTTTATATATGTAATTTGTCTATACATTATGAATAATATCTCATATTATATATTTATTTACAAGTATAATTGAAAGGACAGGGAATAATATAATAAATTAATAGTCACAAGTGTAATAGTAATGCGTAATTAAGGCAGAACAGCTCATGATTAGTTAGCGATATTTGGAAATGATCCTATCATTTATGTGAGATTATATATCATATGACCCAACGAGTGTCCACGTTCACTATCAATTATTGGATGCACGTAATAGATTTTTTTTTGGAAAAATAAAAAAAAACTATAATATTGTACATCAATTAAATTTTAAAATTATGATTTGTATTTCACCCCAGCTAGATTTTTCTTTTTTCATATCAGATACCTTTAGATCGGACCAACACACCAGTTAATTAGTTTCGATTTCAATCTGATTTCAAAATATTCGTACACGCGCTCACACACACAAGTCCCCAGCTACTTTTTTCACTAACGAAAAAGCCTTATACAAATGAATTAATTCATTTGTATAAGGCTTTTTCGTTAGTGAAAAAAGTAGTTAGGGTTTTTAGGGTTTGTTTGGCAGATGAATAGTTGACGGATTGAAACCCTAATGCTAGCTTTCCGTCTCTTTAATATGTCTGTGTGTGTGGCTTGAATTATTGTAGAAAAGAAACGAAAATCAAATTATATATATATATATATGATTCCGGCCAATAGGATTCCAATATATGTAATACTACCTCCAATCCTAATTATAAGAGCTAGTTGACTAATTTGAGGAGATTGAGGAAATAAGTTAAGTTAGTTATTTGTAATAAATATGTGTTGTTTTTCCTAAGATATCCTTATTAATCAAGTGTATTGACTACAACTACCATTATTAGAAGGACTACTTTAGGAAAAAATACATAAATATGAGAGACAAAGTTGATTAGGGTCTTATATTTAATATCAAAATAAAAATCAAATGAGGTCTTATATTAAGGACCGGAGGTAGTATATATGTTGTATACTCAAAGAATATTACGTATTCCTGATTCTTCTCTAGGGTGGTGGATTATTTATTTATAATTAATTGGATAATACTCCTTCGCTTCTTAATGTAACTAATTTGATTAGATTAAAAAAGTAAGATAAATTAGTTAATTATAAGAAATATAATATGTAAGTTAGTTAATTATAAGAAATATAATATGTTTTTTCTAAAACACTATAATCATATTTCTTACTATCCTCTTCTACTAGATTATGATTGAGGTAGTATCAAAAAGTATAATTTACAAAAAAATTAATAAATATGAGAAATATATCTTATATTTAGGATCAAAATTAATTTAATAATTAGGTTCTATATTAAGGACAGAAGGAATATAACATCTAAGGATTGAAATTTGAACATCTTTGAAAATCTTGGTCAAAAAACATCTTTGAAAATCAATGTTAAGAATAAGCCATTAACAGTTTGCTAATTACCTCAAACCATATATACACAACATATGTCAGGAAAATGCGTGTAGTTTTCTTTTGGTTTTTTTCCTTAACAAAGTGCATATAGTTTAGGTTAAATGAAGTGGTATTATAATTATTTTAAAGAGCCCCAATTATTTATAAAATATATATATATAATGAAAAAGATGGGTGCCCAATGAAAAATAAACAAATACATACACGCATAAAAGAGTGATTATGCAGCCGAAGTAATTTATTACTCATACTCCAGATTAAAAAAATGATTGCTAAGAGATTTATATTTTAATTTACAATTTAACATTAAATTCTATGCAACGATGTTTTCTTCCTTTTAACTGAATAGTGCAATTTATTAATACCAGAAATGATTAGGTGTGGGGGGCGTGTTTTGAGCGAAATTATAGACTAATAATTAAATTTTTAAGAAGATTATTTAATTTATTTCTATTTTTAATTTAATAGGATTTGATCAAGGCAATACAAAAATTATAAGGCCTACACTAAAATCCTTGCAAGTGAATTATTATTGAATAACCATTATACTTAATAACTTATTGCAAGGTAATTCAAATAATTTCCCGTATCATGAAAAATAAACAGACTAACAGGTCAATAAAAAATGTCTTAAGTACCATTAGATGTCACCTCTGTTTTTGTGGAGCTGAAGAGTGTATTTTATTATTGTGGAATAATTTTTGTCTCCATTAGATGTCACCTCTGTCATCTACCATTTTGGCAATACGTGAGACTTGGAGTCATTTAAATTTTTTAGTCCATATACAAATGAAACAATCACGTTCATAATAAACGTTTGAATAATAATCAAGTTGAAAATTAAAAATTTACAAGAGATTTGAGAAATTAAATATTTTTATCATCATTATTTTAAATTATATTAATCTATTGAACCAATATACAAATCACTTCCTGATCTGATGATGCAGGCTGTTACAATGTCGTGCTTCAAAACAATATGACTTATTATTTATCCTTGTATTAAGAAAGACTTTATTGAACACATCAACGTTTATATTTACTTTTTCCCAATATATTGATGTATAAAATGTCTAGCAAGTGATAAATAATAATATAATGTTCTCAGCAGTATAATTTAGTATAACATTCATAACTTATGATTTAACGCTATCTACCTTCACTCCGTCCGGTTCTATTTATAAGATTCAATTTTTTAAATGGTTAAAGTATGATCATTTTTATAAGCTTCATTTGAGAAATGTCTGAATATTTAATGTATTTTTTTATTACCTCTAATTAGTTATATCTCTTTCATCTATTTTATTTTTTCCCCGTTCTCTCTCCCATCCCACAGAAATGAAGATATTTTTTAAGAAAATAAGTTACATTTTTTACATATTTATTATTTTTAATCAATTTTAACCAACTTTTTTTATTTAGTTTAGTTATTTGAAGTTTATAATAAGCAATAGAAGCAATATATCATTTACAACATAATGCAATATAAGAGACAATTTATTACATGTACAACATATGAGGGATCAATAAACGTCTTTCCCTGATGAAAATTTAGTTTAATTTTTCTGTACATAATCACCATCTCTTAATTAATACTACCTCCGGTCCTAATTATAAGAGCCAGTTAATTAGTTTGAAGAGATTAAGAAAGTAAGTTGAGTTACCTATTTATATTTGGATCAGATAATCATTTAATTAAAAGTTTATATAACACTTAATTGATGATAGGTGTCATCTCTATGGAATACATATATGACCCGTGAAAGATACCATGGCCGAAAAAAGACAGACACAAAAACACGACAATGATATGAATGCATTTAGATTCTCTCTAATAATTGCTGATGAAAAAATTAGTCCACTTAGTTAATAATAATAATACAAATCATATAATTATGAAAAGCGTTTACTTAGTAAATCCTACCATCTCAATATGACAACTTTATTAATAATCCTTTGTGTCCTAAAAGTAGGAGTTAGATAATTTATTTATGGAGATTAAAAAAATTACTTGAGCTAGTTATTTGTTAAAAAATATGTGTTGATTTTTATTAAATACCCCTTTAATAATTTGCAATGAAAATTATCCTCATATATAATAGCTTGGCCATACCTCCTTCTTCAATATGTGAATTAAAAGGAATAGTTTGGCAATAAAATATTACAAATTCAGGAGACAAAGTGTATTGAAGTCTTAAATTTATGATAATATAAGAAAAATATTAAATGAAAGAGATAATTGGATCAAAGTTGTATATTTAATGTCAAACCAGATCATCAACGAGGTGATGCATTTAGGACTAGATTAGGAAGTAACTATAATCATCATT